TGCAATATTACCTTCAAAGTCGGCTTTGGGAGAATTTAATAGAATAATGGCGCAATTAGTAATAGTTCAGGCGGTCTTTGGCATTATACAATGCAACTAAAAGTTAATGCGATGTTTTAGTCAAAATCCATCAAAATCCAAAACCGACTTTGAAGGTAATATAGTATTTTCATTCCGAAGACATCACACTATTTTTTGTCAATCTTAACTAAACTGTTGATTTAAGGTTGCATGGTGGGCAGTAACCGCAGGCATTAGTAAATATACTAATGAAGTTTTGATAGGTGTTGAACTACGGCATGAAGATGTACAGGTGAGTCAAACCTAGTATAAGTGTATTAATATTAGCTGTTGTAGATTTAGTAAATGCCGGATTATGTGGCTTTTCTACAGTAATAAAGTCAACTTTTTTGTTTATTACAATTGGAATTCTCAGCTACGACCTTGAGCGAGTTCAGTACTATCTGTGCATGAATTGAAATATTTTGGAATCGTGAGGATGAGTTTTAATAAAGCACACAGACTTCATGGATTATCTCCTAGTGCCGTTTTTCTTTTGTGGTCCTGCTTTTGTGGTTTTTCGCACTGTTACATGGAAAGTGAGTTTCACTTACTTTAGTATTTTCCCTGCGCTATTAATAAAAACGTAATTTGCACTAAATCTTCATTGAAAATATTGGCGAGCTCTGGCAAATATTTTAAAAAACGTTTAATGCGGTTATGTTTTAAATTTACCGTTTTTGGATTTTTGTCTTACTAAATATTTGCACCTCTTCACAGTGCCGTGACCACACGGTAATATCAAACTAGTTTATCCGTCATTTAAACTTATTAATAAGGCCTCTAAACATACTAATAACGTGTTTATATATTGTTTTTTATGCAAATTATTATCAAATTTAGTCGTTTTATGGATGTGTTTGGCACTGTTTTGGGTGTTTAAACTAACGAATTGACTAAAATTACATCTTCTACAGTCAACTTCAGTTGCTTTTACGGGAATTAACAAATTTTGCGGAAGACTCTTGCCCATACTTTATTGAAATTTGGCTGATTTACGGTTTTTTGGGTTTGTTTTTAATTTTCACTGTGACAAGTGGTTAAATGTGGGGTGTTTTGAATGTTTTATGTGTTGCGCAATTTTTGGTTTTGTTTAGAATAATTTTGAAAATTTTACGCACTGTAAGCACGGTGTTAATGGTTGTTTTTACGATTTTATTATTTGATTATCTAACTGATGCATTCATTTACGTAATATATTGAAATACCTCGCGAAATTGGGATATTTTTTGAAAAGTTTATTTTGTCACGTATTTAGCACTAATTACGGTGCTTTATACTTGTTCATGCATATCAAACTGCTTTAAAAAGTCTTCTTCTTATTAGGTTGTATCGCAATGATAGCACTTGCAAATAAGTCAATAACTGTTGGCAGAACTTTTTGCATTTTTACGTTCCAAATAATAAAAAAATCCCTGTGATTATTCACATACTATGGAACCCTTTTTGGAATCCCACTGCCTTGTTAAATGTGGGTTTTTAGTTAAAAAATAATTTACCATATCTACTGTTTGTTTTTTTACATAATTCTAATAAGGGTTTATATACTTCCAGGGCTAAGCAGTAATTTTTCCTTTCTTGATTAATAGGCTTTTTAGATACCTTGGACCACTTACGCATGCAAAACACTCATCATTCCTTTTATTTGAATATTTTTACAAAAGAAACCCAATTTATTATTTAGCTTATCTGTTATGGTAGTTTTCAACTAACTTAATGCATAGGAATGCGCATGTCCCTTAATAGATGCCTAATTGAATCGTAAAAAACACGGAAAAAAATAATGCCTTTTAGAAGGAGTAATAAATGGTTTTCACACAATCTTATATGTGAATCCACAATATAAAAGAAGCGTTATATATTCTGACATTTGGTCCTGGTTACTTGCAGATAAAATATAAAATTCCTTACAACACCGAAAGTAAAATATGCTATCCTCCAAGACTTAAAAAATATTTTCCAACAATAATCCAAGTTTAACTCCATTAGATGTAAATGGTATACGTTATTAGGGCTTTTTATTTAAAGTTATACATTTTTTTAAGCACTTATATAAATGGAGCAAGACTATAGTTTTTATAATTAAGAATGGACGTAGCATTTGATTCCCTCCCAAGTTTCTCGTCTAAACACACTGAAGTACAGGTGTGAAATTGAAACTGTCCTATTGTTTTAAGATGACAAATTTCGACCACTTAGGTTGGTTAAAAAGTTTATAAGCAAAAAGTTTACCTAGCTAAAGTAACATTGCACAGCTTTACTAATGAGAACAAGACTTATGAATTTCTATGAAATTTTAAGCTGCCGTAATTAAGCCTAAGCTGGTGAATTTTTATCCATTACCGGGTAGGCTGAATAGGGGAGTTTGGCAAACAAATTACGTATGACAATACTGTCTCGATATCATATTTATGACTTTAAGATGTGCTTTAGATACTTCAAATTCGATGCAGCAGTGGATATCTTTCTCACTATAATTTTTGTGGAACAATCTTGGGTTCAGAGATGAATCGAAATATGTACAAAGTTCCTTAAGTAAATTACGATATTTCTTAGAGGCACTAGCAACCGATGGCCCTACTTACCAGCTGTAGATTTTTCAATGCGCTTGTTACCAGTGTCACACGTTACTGACTCCAAGAGTCAAAAACAAGTAAAATGTGATCTTCAGTGGTATTTAATAGTTGACTGCATGAAATCGTATTGTAAACAGACGGAGTAGAATTAAAACAGAAAAAGAGGCGTTGAATGTTTCCAATCTAAGCACTATTACATCCATGGTATTGACCGGCGTCTGGATTGGTTCGAAAAAGTGAAGACAATCAGCTGTGGTGGTTTACTCTTTCCTGCGACTCAGGAAGCAAATGTGCTGGAAACCTAATGGAATAGAATTGCCACACATTGACATTTCTTTATCCTTTCCTAATTAACGTAAAAATTTAATGATTTTTGCGTCAAAAGTTGTAGTTCTACTCCTATTATCTCAAGTACCTCTTTTACTAAGGTCGATTAGAAGTTATACTATTTTGTGGAGGTAATTGTTGGGATATCTTCAACCTATCTACTACAAATCAATGCCTATTTTTACATTTTTGCCTCTTTTTCTAAACTACAGTGCAAGTGATGGGGCATTATTGTTACATTGTCAAGAGCTGTGCTACTGTCGGTCATATGCTAGTTGCATTGTAACTATCCAATACAGTCTCTCCAAAACTGGGTTATCCTGATTTCTCATGACAGCTTTGATGCCTTAAAGCACTTTCTGACTGTTGAATACGCATTTTGAGACTGAAGAAAAGGACACTGACAGATTGTATTTTCCTCAAATTTCGTGATTTTAACAAATCTTTCGTCTCATTAAAGTCAGTCATCGGTTGATACAGGGGTGCTCTGTGAACGAATTTGCTACTTGTACGTAGTTAAACTCTTACATAAGCGGTACAGGAGGTCAAAATTTCTATCAAAACTATTACGACAGCGCTGCCTACAAAGATACATCATTACTCATAGTCGATTGTCTTTAATTTGCCTCACCATTATTATTGCAGGCTCTAAGAAAGTATAATGCAGAATTCGTGGGAACAATCTTTAATGCCTTGATGATACAAAGTGTTTCCTATAAGAGAAAAGAACTTTTTGATTTTGTTGTCAACCGACGTGTTTTTTTTACAAAATAAATGACAAACAGCCGAAAAAGTCTCACATTTTCCAGTAAAATGTTTGTTTATATCTAATCAATTGATCCATTAGTCTCACACTATAAAAATGGTATTGCTCTTCAGCCAGTAAGGATGGAAACTCGACCGTTACCTCCTAGATATTGTATTATTCTAATTGGCATCAAGTGTCATTAATTTTTAAGCATATTTACCTAAACTCAGCAGCCAGAAAGTGTAGCCACTCTACCAGCCTGTTTAGGATACAATTTGGCGGATAAGTATAATAATAAGTCACAAATATGCGACGCCGTAGTGATGAATGTGTTAAGTAATCCATTTGTTTGTCCTAATTCATATGCAACAAATAATTCCAAAAAGTAGCTTTTGCCGACTTATATCTATTAATTCAGGCGATGCTAGAGTTCACGACCGCAGTTCTCTGATTGAAGACACATTTTGTTGAATTCACTCTCAAAGGGCTTTTGTCAGACCTCAAAATTGCTTTGCGTCATCCTACATAAGGTAGATAAAACATCAGTAGCGAGTAAAGTTAGTTTACACTTATTCGAAATCCTTTTTATTACAAAATATAAACTTTTCTCCTTATACGCGTACAAGATCTTGCCCAATGACTCATTGTGAAAGGAGATATGATACAATAATTCAGAGAAACCAGCATCTCTAATTGCCAGCACGCAATGCCTTCTATAAAAGCCAATTTTTACTAAGGCTCTGCTTCACTCTCATGCTTCCACCATCGCGGATACTCAATATGCTGCTCCTTGCCACGAACAGGGATTTCGTTTGTTATCCGGTTTCCTTGGTAATATTATCCCAGAAACTATAAATTTTATTGAATATGCTAATCTGGCAGCAGAGAGTGCATTAAATTTGCTGTATCGAAGCTCATTTCTGATATCAATAAACATTTCGCAGTAAATTCGATGGTAAGTCTATAACACCCTAGACAATAGTCAGTGAAAAAGGTTTTTCTCTTACCTCCCCAATAGCCAGGTCAGACCCAACGATTTGAGTGTCCAATTAAACTTAAATTGTGTTCATTCAATTAAAATTGCATTTTCCGTTGCCTGTCAGTGACCATGGCAAAATTTCGTCGTCATGATTAGAGCTGATCTTAAGTAGACATGAGATCTTCAGGAGGTACGATTGCGATTAGTTATGCTTTTGAACACTTGAAATTGTATGTCTTATTAGATCAACTTATTTTAAAGTTAAGGATCTCCTTCTCAGTCTTGATGCAAACCTCATGATCTCAAGACAATAGTCAAGTCGGCTCCAGATTACCCATCGCGTCCATTCTTTTAACTTAAGTAAATCGAGTGAATTTTTTTATACTAAGGATTGGGTGCATTTTTGTGATCCGATCAGAATAACTTTAAGTGTGAATTTGGCCCAATCAGGGTCAGCGCAAGCAACTGCTTCTTATATTTTCACTTGACCCGCCTCTTCAGATAAACAGGTGCAAAGAGTTCGCAGCTTTTATGTGAGAAAATGGGAGTACCTGCGTTCTTAAAGAGGCGCCGCATATTTTCCCAAACATTTACTCCTTTCACAGGCCGAGAAAAAAGGAGTTATTGCAATCATAGTCAACAAGGAGGAGGCGCAGTAGTTTTGGGTAAAAATGGATGGAGTGAATTCTGACAAGATTATAGAGATAAAGGAATGGCGGATACTAAAGTCTTTTGAAGTGAAGAAAAATTTATGCTCATGCCTGATTAATTACTAGAAGTGTAAACAAATGAAAAAGGAAGATTTAATTTCTTCCGCCAGACCTTTTGCGTGTTAATTTGTGCGTAATTAGAGATCATCTAGGAACGAGGGAGAGCCATTAGCTTGACTACTTGAAAGCGGCAAACTTCTAAAACATCACATGACACCATTTATTGTGCTTCCAACTGACTAACCAACCGGACAGCGGCAATCTAGCCATGACCGCAATGTGTTGACGAGTCCTCACTCTTCTGTTACCATTTAATTGAGTCTTATGAATCCTCACTCATCGACGCGGCTCGAGAACAATCCTGCCACATATTCGCTATCGATGTAACACACCACTTCTACATCGCAATAGCGTTAATCCACGGCACTCTACTTTTCAGTATCCACTGGTTCAAGATAAGAATATCCGTTTTGCTAAATTTGGAGATGTGTATTTGGTACAGCAAAAGGAAGTTCAGTTTTTCTGTTTTAAAGGAAGTTCAAATGTCTAGGTTCTTACAATGCCCAATTTTTTAGTCCTACCGCACCACTATGCGATGCAGGCTCTTTTACCTCAGAGAAATCCCATTTAGCCCTTTTTATTACAAGGCTTAAAAGTGGCAGATATAGGGTTTAATGGAGGAGCAATAGTTTCTTCTACATTTGCCGTAGTCTTTGCTATTCATTGTGTCAAATAGTAGAATGGTCTGTCTGCTCTGGCTATTTTTGGGGATACTTTAAGGCATTGTAAGAAACATGGCGATATGAAGTGTTTTCTCCCTTTTCCACACGCTGAGATTACTCTATTTGATATTATGCAAGGCATTTAAAAGCAATATGGGAAGATATGTCACTAAGACGCAAATTAATTCCGGTGTTACTAAGCCTCCGGGCAACGCTTAATTTAGAGGCGTTTGGCCGCCCCCAGTTCCTTCCGCACACACACTGGCACATACATTTTTATTCGTCAGGCTGCGTCTACCGTGCCTGCTCCACTATGAGGAATAATACATAAATTTTGAAATAACATATTTAGTGCCTAGAGAGGTTAAAGTAGACAAAAGGAATTAATTTTTGCGTTTCAAATCTAGCCTACTTAGCCTAAGGTTAGATCTCAATCGGATTCACAACTCAAGTTTTGATACCCGTTACGCATCAGCGAATTGCATTATGGGTTTCTATAAAGAAATGCTCCAGAGTAATGGAGATTATAGTCTTTCCTCTTGTGGATACCTAGACTTTTTAGCATAAATCGCTTCATTTCCCTCACTACTTCTGCCACAGAGCAACTTGATGTAGATAACTACTCGGGGGAAGCTGGGCTTTTACGTCTCGCATGGTAAGACAGACGGAGCTCCATGAAGCCAGTTTGTCTGCATTAAATATCACTGCCATTGGGTATCACCATCATGTCTCACCTCTAGTAATATTTCCACCCATGTTACAGGCTCATTTTTGATGAAACCCTTGCAAGATTTTAGGTAAAAGGTCTTTGAACTTTAGAAGTCAATAATTGGGTCATTCGTAGAGTCTATTGTGTACATAGAGCAGCACATTAACGTACTTCTTTTTAATAGTTAAAAAATAAATACCAAACTTAGAATTAAGAGTACTTTGTGGCACCCAAACAAAGTCTCCCT